TCGCAGCCGACCCACCGTGGCAGAGCCTGCATGCGCTCGTCGGTCACTCAGGGGAGACTACAAGGATCTAAAACATCCAGCGTGTCGCCCTGGTGACACTTGCTTGAAGAAACAGCGAAAAAAACGGAGGAAAAGAAAAAAATTCCCAGAGAAAATTTTTTAGCTCCTTACTCCTGACGCTAGGCAAAAAACTGGAGACTTGTCAGCAAGTGAGGGGTTGGGCCACCAGCAGGGGCCGCCCCTAGGCTGTCTTGTCTTTTTAGTTATGTGCCTAGCGTCCTACTCCTGCAGGTGGCGATATACCCTACCATTCAGGATCTACGATCTGTTGCCCTGTGTCCTTCAATGAACGGGAGAGAAAATAATTAACATCCAATGTCCTCAGATCTTTAACCATTTGTTGGAACAGACAGTCCTGCTTATCTAGGTTACGGGTAATAATGAAATCTGCCACCACAGTACAGACAGGGATAATTATTTGAAACAACCTCCCCAACAGTAGGAGCTAGACAGGATTTTTCAGTCCTGATGCTTGCAGAAATATCGAAAAAAAGGTAAGCAGCAATTTTTTACATTTATGCTATGCTTAGTACTGTGCTATGCGATTGGGAACATGTAACAAATATATAAAGTAAATGTTATCCCAATTTGGCTGCAAAAGTAGAAAAACATTTTGCCTACTCTGCTACCAGTGACAGTTTCACAGACAAACAAATTTCATAACAAAGGATCATTTTTTAAATGAAACTCTACCATTATGTAAAATTTCCTGCACAGCAAAGAGCTGCTTTCCTTAAAATAGTCGACTAACGCAATTAGCAACTGTTGAGGTGCATAAATTGATCAGGAGAATGTAATATACTGTATATCATGTCAGGATTTTGTCATGTAAGCCGCATCGTTTGCATCAATGCAAGTAAAATAATCCTCATCAATAATATTGCATGCTCTGTTCCCATGCTATTCTGCCTCCTATGTCCGGTTGCAACTATGCGCAATTAAGTGCCAGCATAATTCCATTGCTAGGTTCTGGAAACAAACAGTTCAGTTCACAGAGAGGCAGAATGGTAGCGGGTGGCGGAATCTGGAACACTCTTTCAGGGTTATTCACAAAAGGGTGAAGAGTTTGGAGAAGTGAACAATCTAGGACAACATAGCTGATCTGGAAAGATTCTCCAATTCAGCTCACTTTCCAGTTCAGCTATGTTGTCCTAGATCAGTGATGGCGAACCTTGGCACTCCAGCTGTTTCGGATCTACAAGTCCCATGAGGCATTGCAAGGCTCTGACAGCCACATAAATAACTCCCAGAGGCAGGAGCATGTTGGGATATGTAGTTTTGGCACAGCTGGAGTGCCAAGGTTTGCCACCACTGTCCTAGATTGTCCACTTCTCCTGCCTTCTCCAAACTCTTCACCCTTTTGTGAATTTTGTGTGAACTGAGGTAGTTTTATCATGTATTGTGGATTCATAGCTGCCAAGTCTTTAGGATCCTACGGTAGAACTGAAAAAAAGTCTAATTTTCAAATCCAAACAGTTTACATACATATAACGTATGAGGTACTAGTAGGGCATGGTCACATGTTAACACACCAACTTTCCTTATTAAAGGAGAACTATGGGGTCAGGGCTTTTCCCCATAGTTCTCCTAAGGGTAACGAGAGGACACAAACTAGAGTCCTCCCGTCACCCAAAGCTCAGTATGCCGCGAGCTACGGCTCGCGGTATACCGAGACGTCGCAGCCGGGACGGATCCTGACAATTCTGTCTGGATCCACCCAGCTGGGTGAGTAACAGCTGCCTCTGCCTATCTAGAGGCAGCGCCAGCTGTACCTGCCCCCTACCCTGTCCGTTCCGCCAGTCAGCGCTAGAGGATCGGACAGGGAAGGGGGGGGATCTGTGCAGGGAACCTTACATTACTAGATATATTACATACTTACATTAATAGATATATAGTGCCAATATGTGGTAAACTGACAGTTGGGAGGAAATGTACAGACCCATTTCTGGTCACTAAACTGCACCGTACTGAACTATAAATATGTCTGCGTTTCCAACCAAATAGCTAACACACAATATTAATGACCATTTATTTATTTATTACAGGTATTTATATAGTGCTGACAATTTACGCACTTTACACAGTGCACATTCACATCAGTCCCTGCCTTCGAGGAGCTTACAATGAAAGGTCCCCATCTCACATGCATACATACAGGGCCGATTTAGAGAGGAGCCAATTAACCTTCCGGCATGTCTTTGGAGTGTGGGAGGAAACTGGAGTACCCAAAAGGTAACCCACGCAAGCACAGGGAGAACATGCAAAGTCCTTGCAGATAAGTGTCCTGATCAGATGTGACTGAACTTTTTAAATCTCATTGGATTATGCTGGAAATAACTCACTTTTTTGAGTTTTATTTATGTAGACTTTACAGTACAAAAAAATCTGCTTGCAACACAATCTACTTCTTAAGTTTCTGAGAATACACATAACTATAGTCAATTTTATACATTACATTTTGTTGCCGCTACTCTGTAGTATGTCTAGACTCTGTACATTAGGGTCTTGTACACGCAGGCTTCAGTATGTGAAATTGCAATGTGTACAGGAAGCTTTTACAAAGCATTGGTGAATCTTTAAGCAAGCCTCTGATGCTAAATTCAGTTTGTTTTGGGTTGTTAAACACAGTTTTAATGGAAGTACTGAGTCACTTTAAACAAGCTGCTTTCAGGCTTCAGATGATCTTTAGTAACACTTACAGTTATTCACAAAATGGTGAAGAATTTGGAGAAGGCAGCAGAAGTGAACAACCTAGGACAACATAGCTGAACTATTGTTCACTTCACAAAAAGGTGAAGGGTTTGGAGAAGGCAGGAGAAGTGAACAATCTAGGACAACATAGCTGATCTGGAAAAATTCTCCAATTCAGCTCACTTTCCAGTTCAGCTATGTTGTCCTAGATTGTTCACTTCTCCTGCCTTCTCCAAGCTCTTCACCCTTTTGTGAAGTGAACAATCGTTCAGCTATGTTGTCCTAGGTCGGTTACTTCTCCAAACTCTTCACCCTTTTGTGAATAACCCTGTTAGGCCTATTGATGCCTGCTGTCAGCTTGTTTAGTGACAAAACTCCCAAACACTTAGTTTGTCATCCCCATACTAGAACTGCAGTTTTCATGAAAGGCTTTACTATCCCTGGCATTAACACCAAGGATTACCCATTGTAACCATTTTACATTGAATTCCTGCCCCAAAGATGGTCAGGATAGTGAGCAGCATTCAAAAAGGATGATGGGAGGAGGATTAGCTAAAACTTGTTTTGAAGTGCTCTGGTCTGAGCACTTCTGGGTTCATAAACGTCAAATTTCAGTCAGCAATGGATAGGAATATAAAAAAATTGGAGTACGGTCAGTACTCAACGCAGTGCACAGGAGACACTGTTTTGAGTACTGGTTTTGATATATAAAATACCAAAACTAGCTTTTGCTGAAATATTCACCAGAAATTTCTTCTTCTATATTTTTTATCTGCCACTAGATGTCCTCAGTCTGATGACCAACATTATATAAACCCCTTAATCTGTGCCCAGGACCCAAATTCAACCCAAACTATGACCAAACTGAGAAAGGAGAAACAGCACAGTGATTATCTGACCTCTCGGTCACCCTGCTCTCTCTTCCGATCAGCATGCTTCTTGTGAGCACATTAACTGATTGGCTCCTTGTTCTGCTTCTTCCTCACACACCATCCCTGCTGTACATATACTGCAAAAGGCTGATACTAAGTACTTACACTGCATGGCTTCAAAATACATTTAATTTTGTATTAAATATCTGCCTAGATTTCAGCATCAAATGAGGATCACAAAATCTATGATCTTTTTATTGTCATTTCTTTAGCTCTGTGGTTGGTTGGCAGCTTGCACCCAGCACTTCATAAATAGTGGTTAGGTCTACGTGTGAATGGGGCCTAATTGTTAATGGTCTATGAGCGGTCTTGCATTTTGTTCTGCAAGGACAGAGAGAGAGAACAGGAAAGCAGAGTTCTATAGTTGTTATCTAGCTTTATTTATCAGTTACATATAAAAAAAATATAAAAATTGGACTCTTGTAGTTTAGCACATAGAAAACAACATGACATATGCCAGAATTCTTCCGACTCGGCAAAGAGCCACCTCCAGGGACCAGAACGACAAAAAACAGAGTCTACTCAGTAAATGCACATTACTGGTGTACTGCTTGTCATACATTAGGCATTTGTGTCCTGCTTTCAAGCTACCAATTTAAATTAGGTTAGAAATGGGTAACAAAAATATTATATTAACTTATATCCCATTTTTGCATTTAGTCCCAGACAATTAAGAAATGCAACTAAGACAACTACACAATTGCTGATTTTATGGGCAGCATAATGGCCAGTGTTGACAGGCTTTGATACACAAAACAGCATTGGAAACCCGCTCAACTTGTAAGCTGATATTGTGCATGAGCTGGGAATTGCTGGTGCTCAGGAAATGCTTCATTTGGAAAGGTTCCGTACTTGACGGGCTCTGGGCTTGTGTCTATGGTATCAGCATGAGAGGTTTCCGAGCTCATTCAGACCTTACTGACAGCTGCAATTGTCCTGCAGTTGACCTCCTTCTGACCTGCATTTATCCTGCTTCAAGTGGGTTCTGCATTTCCATGGACTTGTATGAGAATGCAAACAAAGCCCCTAAGAGAAAGGTGGCTTGTTAGCATCCAGTGATCATCTGGACTCATTCCAGAACAAAATGGCCCTTTTTAAGCCAAGAAAAGATGCACAATAATTTTAGTTTTCAGTAGTCGTGTTACATCAAATATTAACATGCACACATAAGCAGCACTAAAAAGGACCACAGATAAAAAGAGAAACCCTTTTGAACAAGGGTTATAAGCAAAACTTCATATGGAAAACTATACTACAAACATCAAGTCAAAGTTTTAATTGATGAGTTTTGGAAATAACCAGCAACAGAATTGTTCATGAAAAATAAAAAAATCCACCCTAAAATCTCAAGGTCTAATCTTCTTCTTCGTCATCAAAAGACAGTAAACTGCTATTTCGAACTTGTTTCTGGCTGGGTTTGCTGGACAAGGACTCCTGGTTTTCTTCCGGCTTCTTCTTTTTGCTTGAAGTTGCGTTAAGACCTGAAAATCTGTTATCAGTGGTGCGTTTAACTGGCTTTCTGAACAGGATCTTACCATCAGCAGGGACTGGATCATCATCTACACGAATAAAAAGATGAATGACATATTTGGTATTATTTTCTATTCAGTCAGCTTCATACAGTCCTCCATGTCTTAGTAAGCAGAACAGGTGCCACAACAGGTTTAGGAATGTCTAGTAGTCATGAGGTGATCTTTGCAAAGCTGAAATATATGCATGCAGTTGTACTGTACATATCTGTAGGAAATCATACAATCTATTCATTACTGCATTTATGATTGGAATGTAAATATTTAGGAAAATTTAAAAATAAAAAAAATAACAATCAGAAATTATCCGCATGAGTTCATCACTTTCTAAAGTGAATAAAAAAAGTAAAGATCTGCTCTATTATAAAGAACATCTAGAAAGGTATATTGCAATAGTACAATTGTAGCACCCAGAAAAAAAATGTTTTAATACCTTTTGTCTATAATTCCTCCTCAAAAAAAAGAAGTGCGCTTCCTGTTATGCGAGGATGCTTAGGCATTCTGTTCTTACAGCCTTAAGGTCTCGTTCACACCTAGGCGTATTGCATATGCGCGATTCGCGGTAAAAAAGTTGCGCGATTTTCGGCTGGTTTGTGGCATGCTTGGGAGACAAATGACGAACGGGCCGGTGTGCGCATGCGCACACTGCCCGTTCAGCATTGCGGTCATCGGTGATCGCAAGTACGATCTGCCTGTCCAAGATGGGCAGATCGTACGTTTTATTAATTACTTTACAACCATCGCAAGACTAAGGTCTTGCGATGGTTGTAAAGTGTATGGGCACCCTTAGCCTTGCCACAAATTCTTAACTAGGTCATTGTAAGACATTTAGGTTCTTGGTTTGAAACGACTTCATTGCAGCTAAGCTAAGGTCATTGGGTCTTTAGGGTCTCCGTTATAATGGAAGGTGATCCTTTGACTGAGTCTCAATTTTTTTACAGAATAAAACAGTTTTTCCTATAAAACTGCCCTGTTTTTGGCTCTATACACCTGGCCCTGCCAATGAAATGGAATGAAAAGCATGCCAACTTGATGCTACCACCATAAAACTTTATCATATGGTTCCTCAAGAGTTTCATTTAGAAATGTTAAAGGAGAACTATGGGGGTTAGGGCTTTTCCCCATAGTTCTCCTAAGGGTAACGGGAGGACACAAACTAGCGTCCTCCCGTCACCCAAAGCTCAGTATACCACGAGCTACAGCTTGCAGTATACTGAGACGCCACAGCCGGGACGGATCCCGACATTACTGTCTGGATCCACCCAGCTGCGTGAGTGACAGCTGGCTCTGCCTATATAGAGGCATAGCCATCTGTACCCGCCCTCTCCCCCGTCTGTTCCGCCAGTCAGCGCTGGAGGATCGGACAGGGGAGGGGGGAATCCCGGCAGGGAGCCGTGAGTGACAGTCACGGCTCTCTGCAGGGACAGGATCGAGCGACGGTATGTGTTCGCTTACTTCCCGATCTATTAAGCCGACCTGTGACACTTTCATTGTCACAGGTCGGCTAGAACTACGTTAATTCTCCTTTAATTCTGGGCTGTAGATACAACTTCTCTAGATTTTGTGTCCCCCCCCCCCATAGTGAAAATTACAGGAAGACACATCAGAGATTTGATCACCTGCTTAACTCAACACTTACGCTATGCAGTACATGTGGTAACTTTAGCATTACTCTCTCATAACCATGCAGCACTGGCTCATTTATAGCACAGCAAACACCTTCGCTGCATTAAGAAGTATAAAACGTTTATGAACAAAAGTTTTTTAAATACTTTTTACGTGGTAGGACCATGAAACACAGCACAACCTGACCACTGATAACACAAACAATTACTAACCTTTTTCACTTCCTTTAATTTCTTGTTTAATCTTCATAACATCCTCCACTGAAAGGTCCCCTTTCTTAAGCACTACCACTTGTGGCTGTTCATCCTCCTTGTCACTGCCATCACTGTCATCTGCTACAGTAGGAAGTTCCTGACGCTAAAAGGAGAACATTAGGATAAAAAGAACACATTACAAAAATGTTACGCCAGTCATTCTGTAGAATGCATATAAAGAATGAATTCTGTATTCCTTCCTGCAGCTCCACATACTCAATTTCTCAGTCATAAAATGATTCACATCCATGTTGCTATGCTTTATCCCAGCACTCTACACTACAGGAAGTTATATAGATTTGGTGATCTTTATTTTAGCAAGATAGCAGAATATCCGAATTGGAACTTTTGCAGAGTGCTGACCACTCACCTCTGACCCTTTTGATTGCATCTGTGCCAAGGTATTTGGTGGATCCGAAGGGAATAGAGACTGTGCAACACTGTGTGCAAACTCCCTATATATTTCTAAATGATTGTGCCTTATTCCTCACTCCCTCAGGCGTCTTGCCCACAGCATAACCAGTCCCAGAAAGTCACTCCTCTGCCAGTCATATGGCTGCCCACTGACATGTACAATGCAAGCCTGGCAGCCCTGGACGGGAACCTGCCTACGATCCAGGGCTGGCGTGGAAGCAAGTGCTGGCTGCTGTGGGAGGGAAGAATAAGGGAATGATTTCCCTCTGTTTAACCTTCTAGACATAACAAGCATTAGAACCTTACTATGGGGTGCAAATAAAGGAGGATTTGTATAGGCCGAACGGAGTTCAGCTTTACAGCAGAACTCCAGAGAAAGCTTTTTCCTAACCATTGCAGTGAGGCTACCCCACACTGAAGGGGTTAACTGCTCGTTTTTGTCTAGGTTCAAAAATAACAACAATACTCGCCTGATCATCGGAGCTGGCTTGCTCTTAGACAGGTCCCTTCTGCCTCTCTCCTGGTATATCCCTCAGCATCCTCACATCCTATACACCGTGTATAAAACGTGATGACACACAAGACTTCAGACTGCTGAAGCAGGGAGGAAGCCAGGATTGGGAGAGTATAACTTTGTTATTTCTGAACCTAAACAACAACAAGCATTTAACCCTTGCAATGCAGGGGGTAGCCTCACTGCAAGGGTTACCAATAAAATTCCCCCGGAGTTCTGCTTTAAAGCAAACCTTTCCTTCGAGACACATGGGTGCTGCTTTTACCAAGCCTGCAGCTGCGATATATTCCATTTTTAGGGTGGGTTTAGATACTTTAGATAGATAAGACACTTTAAATATGAACAATATACAGATACACACCTTAGTATCTACTGTTGGGCCTTCTCTGTAACCAACATCTTTCTTAAACTTTACCAGGAAGGCGGGCTCAGCAGGCTTCACATAGGACACCCGATTCTTTTTACTCATGGCTCACTGTAGAGAAAAGTTATAGCGTTATAAGGAAATGATACACATATGACCCATGCACTTATGTTATTAATAAGCTGACTGACAGACCTGCATTGTAAAGGAGGAGCACTTACACACAACCGCTTTATTTTAGTATTGCAAAACCAGAAGCAGAGTCTGATGACTGCTCCCATGTACATATATTATTTCAACTGATACCTTGTATGGACCAGGAAAAGCTTACATACAGCGGCCTTACCGCCATTTTCTGTACATTTGTATGTGTGCTACGTCCAGCCATGGAGAAGGAGACCTCCTTCACATCTGGGATTAGCACAGAGAGTAGCAGGAATCCAGGAAATTCCTGTGGCTGGAATGACAGGTGGTGGGGGAGAGTTGCGGCACATCAGCCCGTACAATGCAATGGAGGGAGGCTGACAGCAGCCGCAGCTGTTACCGTGTAATCGCATATGGAGCCAGGTAAAATGTTTAAAAAAAAACTTACTTCAGTCTCTGCCGCTCGTTACCGGCTGTAAAATCCAGCTTCTCAAACGGCCGTGCAGGAAGATGTGTGCGGGCGCATGCGCAGTGGATATCACCGGCAGGGAGAGGAGGAGAGCTACAGTGAAAATCAATGCATGCAGCCGTGAGAGTGCACGCCAGACAGACTGCATGGGACAGGAAGAAACTGCGCTGAATCAGAGAGCGGAGGGACTGCTGAAAACGACTGGAAGGCTGACAGTGTTCGGATCAAGAGGCATCACAGAAGGTAAGTCCTTACAGCAGCATTGGGGGGGGGTTAGCTTTTAATGTCACTTAAAGGAGAACTATGGGGTCAGGGCTTTTCCCCATAGTTCTCCTTAGGGTAACGGGAGGACACAAACTAGCGTCCTCACGCCTCTGCATGGAGCGATCCCCTGGGGTAGGTAATTTGTTTATAAATTATACCTTACCTTTTATCCTGAACTCACATGCATAGCAAATCCAGCATTGCTCTGTGGTGATCTGCCACTCCTCTGCCATGTGCCGGGTCCCACGCCGTTATCTTCATCAGGAGCCAGCTGGCCCCCAGATGACAAGTCAGGACTGCCCTCCTCCAGCAAGCCCATCCTCCTCCAATGCAAGGTAGTAGTTGGAGGCTCCTGGGATATGTGACATGCATATCAGAGTAGGCTTCAGGAGCAGGGACATGTCATTCTCACCTAGCTGGAAGCAGGGCAGGACAGCGGGTTAGATGGTCCGCTATGTTACTCTAAGGAGGGAGGAGGAATGTTTTTGTTTTTTTTACAAGGTCCACTTTAATGACTATGCAGATAACTTCTCAGTTCACTTGCTGAATGCTTCCTCCAGGTAAGGCCTATTTCACATGGTGGTAGTCTGTACCACCCCTTTGGAAAGCAATGCCATTTTCAGAGGGCAGCTAAGCGGCGGTTTGCAGGAGGCGATACCGCAGTCTCCTTAACGTCTGTTTTGTTTCTTTTAATCCAAGTGGATTTTACATGGAAAAAGCATGCTGCCACTGCACTGGAATTGTCCCATTGACATGCCGAGTTAAAAATCGCCACACCATAAAGCGAGGCATCACGGCCGCCATGTAACACTATAGGTGGGTGGCCAAAACAAGGATCAACCACCTGCTTTTACCACCTCTTGAGTGCTACGTTACTCAGAAGGCATTGAAACCAAAAAACTATTATTTTCAGAAGGATGTCAGTACTGGCAGCCCCTCAGTACAGGTTTTACACACATGGGGGGGATTTATCAAAACTGGAGATGTGCATAGCAACCAACCAGCTTCTCTCTTTTATGTTCAAATCATATCTGAGCAAACTGAAGAGAGATGCTGATTGGTTGCTCCAGATGACAGCGGAAGTCCCAGCATGCACCAGGTCACACTGGTCCTTGTAGTTCCCCACCTTTCACAAACACCCCCGCCTGGAACAGTACCGGAGGCCCACAAATCACTCACCTCCGTACACAACAATCACCACCACCACCACCACCGCCGCTCAGTCTCCATTGGCTTCAGTCACCAGGCCCCTGACTCCGCCCACTCCGGTCACATGACCGCGACTGCTTGAAAGGTCCTGCGGCGCTGGATGTGATCTCTGTTAAAGCGCCAAATTTGAAGGTTCCGCCATTTTTATTGTGAGAGCGACCGAAAGACACGACAACAACAACATAACTGGGGACACGGAGGAGGATGGCGCCGGGGACAAAGAGTACGTGTGTGCTGCTGGGGGGCATCGCGCTCCAGTCATTGAAATGTGTCTGTGAGTTCTCATATATCTGGTCATGGTGTAGTCACCCTCATCTGGACTGTCTCACCATTACAGAACAAGTCCAGGTGAATGTAACTACTAATAGAGAGACCATAACCGGGATAAGTGAGGACCTTCACAGATGGATAGATATATCTATATCTCTGCTGATAAATTTGGATTCAGTTGGGTTGGATCGAGAGAAAAAAAACCCGCTAGATGTATAATTTCTTTTTAATGTCTGTATTTTACATACTTTTTCTTAATAATAAGACCCCTGCTATGTGTCACATAGGAAGTGACAGGTACTCTGTACAGAGACATCAATGTCACCCAGAGTCTGTGTTGTTTACCTGATCCCAGCAGCTGGGGTTTGACAGCTCTACACTAAAATGCAGCATGTATGTATGTATGAATTTGACTGCAAAGTGCTAACTAGGGATGCACCGATGCCATTTTTTCCAGACCGAGTACAAGTACCGATACTTTTCCTCAAGTACTCACCGATACCAATTACTGATACTTGTCTTTAGTGTTATGTGACATTTTTTTCTAAAATAATGATATTAGGACAGTGGTGGAGCGCCAGGGGCCGGTCCCATCTGTGACCCTGGTAGGTCTGCCACTGACTCCAAGCTATAGAGGACTACAAATGTCAGCAATACATTATATAGCATTGCAGAATAATACCACCAGCTATAAAGGACTACAAATCCCAGCAATACATCAAACAGCAATGCAGAATGATGCCAGCTATAGAGGACTACAAATACCAGCAATACATTATACAGCAATGCAGAAAAATACCATCAGCTATCAAGGACTACATATCTCAGCAATAAATTATACAGCAATGCAGAATAATACCACCAGCTATAGAGGACTACATATCCCAGCAACACAGAATAATACCAGCTATCGAGGACTACATATCCCAGCAATACATTATACAGCAATGCAGAATAATACCATCAGCCGTAGAGGACTACTAATCCCAGCAATGAAGAATGGCACCGTCTATATTGGACTACATATCCCAGCAATATATTATACAGCAATGCAGAATAAAGCACTGGACAGAAACCGCGGCAAAATTTCTAAAGTAGCTGTGGAGTTCAGGTGCAGTTTTGCTGCACCATACTCTGTGCTGCTGCTTTGCTCCTGAGTGCTGGTCTGATGTCTTGGGTGGAGGGTCTGAGAAGGGAGAGATGGCCGGGCCGGTGGAAGCACTGTAAACAGGTGCCGCGTGGTTCCCAAGAAGGCTGCCGCGAGGTCCCCAGCAAGTGTGGGACCCAAGTCAGCTGCTTTAATTTAAATAATTAAAGCACCGGTATCAGTTTTTGGTATCGGAGCATTTGCACCAATACTGGCATTGGTGCATCAATAGTGCTAAGTGCTGGATTCAGCCTAGAGTAGATGGATGAATGGTAGTCCTGATTTTTCCAGCTCTGCGTCCTGATTCCCCCAACATCGGTCCCTGTCTTGCAGAGAAGATAGGTGAGCCCAGCGGCCATGGCGACTTGGAACAGACCCTGCAGTGTTCTCTCTATTTTTGTACCCATAGTTTTTCCCCATAGTTCTCCTTAGGGTAACGGGAGGACACAAACTAGCGTCCTCCCGTTACCCTAAGCTCAGTAGACCGCGAGCTACAGCTCGCGGTATACTGAGACGCCGGAGCGGATCCCGACGTAGATGACGGGATCCGCCCAGCTGCGTGAGTGACAGCTGGCTCTGCCTATCTAGAGGCAGAGCCAGCTGTACCCTCCCCCGTCCGTTCCGCCAGTCAGCGCTGGCGGGGAGAGGGGAATCCAGCCCCTCCCCCTGTCACGGCAGAGAGCTGTGACAGGATCGAGAGGTGAGCGAGCCTGGTATGTATTCCCTCACCTCCCGATCTACTGAGCCGACCTGTAACAGTCTCATTGTCACAGGTCGGCTAGAACTATGAGGTGAGTGGAAATCACTCATCTCATAGTTCTCCTTTAAAGCGTATAAGGTAATTTTTATGCGTGTACAGGCTTTTGTAATAAGGTAGTTCAAAGTACAGCATATTCATAGTATAGCAACACGCAACGGAAAATCCAAATTGACCTTATATTGATCTGAGGGCCAGTGTCAACGGCTTATGTTCGTGGCAGAACTGCTTCACCACCCATACAAAGCAAAATTCAGCTTGACTGAGGTCAAATGCAGGTTACAAAGATGTGTATACATACCAATATAATAAAGGTTCTGAGTCCCTTCGAAATTCTACCTTCTTCCAGTTACATATACTCCATAGCCTAGCAAAGGTTGCTTAGTAGTAACTTCTGCCTTCCAGCACTGGGGTCCCTGGTTCGAATCCTAGCCACGACACTATCTGCATGGAGATACATGCTCTTGTGCTTGTGTGCGTTTCCTCTGGGTACTCCAGTTTCCTCCCACACTCCAAAGACATGCTGATAGGTTAGTTGGCTCCTGTCTAAATTGACCCTAGTGTGCATGTGAGATAGGAACCTTAGATAGTAAGCCCCTTGAGGGCAGGGACTGATGTGGATGCACAGTTTGCAAGAGTTGCTTCTTCATATGAATTGGGACAATTACGGATGATACAAATACATGTAAAGCAACAAATGAGGTACCACCACTCCAGGTATCGATTCTAGGTCAAGAGTCTGTTTCCTAACCCTCAGTATTTTGCTGTAATTGTGCTAGGTGGTCTTGCTCCCCTGTAATAAAGGGGGTAGAAGTACCTGTTATGTACTGATATCTCTGGAATCTGTATCTTTCTCTTTAGGTACACTTTATTGTCCTTTCAGAGACTTCCTCACACCTGTCCCATTTATTTAAAGGAGAACTATGGGGTTGGGGTTTTTCCGCCATAGTTCTCAGGGGTGTGAATTTTTTTTTTTAAAACTACTTGTCCAAGGGCTAAAGCGGCGGCCAAATCTACTTGCCCTTCATGACAATCTACTTGTCCCAATACAAAAAAATAGTTTTAATCAAAACTAAGGATGCACCAATGCCGGTTTTTCGGTTACGAGTACCGATTTTTTTTTTTACTTTCGGATCTCGCCGACACTGAATACTAATACCGGTGCTTCTGCTGGCATGGAGCCGGCTTCCCTGGTAATCAGGAAGCCGGGCAGCGGGTAATGACATCCCGCACCGGTTCCTGATTGCCACGGAAGTCGGCTCCATGTTGTTTGGCCTGCTTGATTGTGAGTGGCCGGGAAACCTGCTTCCCGGTCAATCAGGAAACTGGCTCCATGCTGCTTGGCCAGGAAACTGGCTTTCCAGCCAATCGGCAAGGAGCCGGCTTCCCGGGCCATTCAGAAAACCAGGAAGCGGGTCATTACTTGCCGCACGGCTTCCTGATTGCACGGGAAGCTGGCACCATGTTCCCCTACGGCACTGCCAGTCAGAGGAAATTTTTATCTGGCCGTAAGTTCCAATATCAGGGAAGGTATCGGAGCATTTGGGTGAGTACGAGTACTTGCCCAAATACTCGGTATCGGCACTGATACTAGTATCGGTGCACCCCTAATCAAAACATATTTGACTGTGCTAAATAGCGCTTCTCACTGGTCAGCGCAGTCATCTGACCACGTTGACCAATGAGTGCTTGCAATTTGCGAGCGAAATTCAAAATGCATAGGGGAGGACTGCGCTGGACAGCAGTACGGGGGACAGATAGTACACCCATACTGGCGGAGGGGAGGGATTGTTCACCGAAAGTTAAGTATAGCCAGGGGAGTGGCAGTTTGGGAGAGACAGGGACAGATTTCATCGGGTAATTTTTATATTTCCATATTAGCTGGGTAAATGAACTTGCCCTCTAATGCACATTGTGTGTGTGTGTAAGAGAATTCTGGCTACCACCATGGAATGGTGGCTGCAATCTCAAAGCACATGCATAATGTCCTACGCATGCGTTTATTTGCATGCAGATGGCGAAGGCAGCAGGGTTTAATTTTTATTTTTTACTTTTTCATTTAAAAAAAAAAAATCTTTCTATATTTTATAATTTTTTTAACTTTTTAAATTGCCTTTACATTTTTATTTACTTTTTCTACTTAATGTTCTTCCCATAACATAGGGGATTAAAATCCCTTATGTGATAGTTTGGAGGTGACAGGTTCTCTTTATGGAACCTGCCCTCCAACACAGAACAGCTGAGATGTTCTGTGTAGTTCCTGACAGCGGAGACAGGTGGCGCTGTGATTACAGCGCCACGGTCTCAGAGAGCCCTGTAGAGCAGACGTTCTTTGTCTGCTCCACGGGCTCTATGGCTGAACCGTTGTGCTGTAGTTTTTCGGGGTCCCCCAGGAGAGCCTGCGACCCCCGAAAACTACGGCGGGTGGTGCGGGCAGAAAAGATCGCCGCTGCTCAAATTGATGCAAGTGGTCTGATCAGACCACTTGTAGTAAACGAGCGGAGGCGGCTCCACAATGTACATTCAGCTCTGCTTTTCCGGAGCCGGGCTAAATGTACATTAAAAACTACTCGCTCAGCGCCTGAAACTGCATGTCCCGGGCGGCGGGCGATAGGAATTCCACACCCCTGGTTCTCCTTATGGTAACGGGAGGACACAAACTAGCGTCCTCCCGTAACCCTAAGCTCAGTACACCGCGAGCAGCAGCTCGCGGTATACTGAGATGCCGAAGCGGATCCCGACAATTATGTCTGGATCCGCCCAGCTGCGTGAGTGACAGCTGGCTCTGCCTATCTAGAGGCAGAGCCAGCTGTACCCACCCCGTCCGTTCCGCCAGTCAGCACTGGAGGATCGGAGGGGGGAATCCAGTCCCTCACCTGTCACGGCAGATAGCCGTGACAGGATCGAGAAGTAAGCAAACGCCGGTATGTGTTCGCTCACTTCCCGATCTACTGAGCCGACCTGTGACAGTCTTATTGTCACAGGTCGGCTAGAACTATGAGGATGAGTGAAAAGCACTCACCTCATAGTTCTCCCTTTTAATGCAGCAAGGTCTTTTGATGAATGCAGAATTGCACCTCTGATACTATCTTGCACAGCCTACATATGAGACGCCTACCCATCCTGTGACAAATTTCATGCACTGCTCTTTGCTGGCTAGTAGACAGATATCAGCCTCTGGAGTAAAATGTAAAATGGGGGTGAGGCTTAGTTGTTGAATATTATCAAAATGTTGAAATATACCTGTAAGTACAGCTCTGTCTTCCAAGCCAGCACATTTTGGGGAGAGATGAAATGTTTTTAAAACCACTATTGGAGTTATCTGAGTTCACATGCTTGGCGAATGTATAGGTTCACTTTTAGAACTCTTATTTCAAGGTTTTTATAATAACGTACTACTTCATGGTCTTTGGCTTGATTTGTCTATTTTTATCTATTTATTATTTATTTGTGAAAATTGTTTTGTTTTACAGGTGACCTAGTTGATGTTCCTACCTGCTTAACAAGGTAAAGAAAATTCTATGTAATATTATTTACATTTTTATTAGGGAAGTGCCGAAATTTCACCTGTTTCGGAAACATATCAGCCGAAATGGTACTTTGGGAAAAATGCCAAAAGTAACATTTTTCGGCTGAAACTGTGGTGTATCCATGGTTTCTCTCCACCCTGCTGGGCGCTGCTCTATGTTCCCTCACAGAGCAGCGCCCAGCGGGGAGAAGAGAAACCTCAGGAGGCCGGGCGGGGAGGACAACGCTGAGTGTGTGTGTGTTACAGGAGGCTGAGCTCTCCCTCCGCCCCGCTCGGCCTCCTGTGACAACAAATCAGGATTGAGAAACTGCTGTCAAAGGAGGCTGAGCCGGCAGTGTGGCTGTGTCACAGGAGGCTTCGCTCTCTCCGCTTCTGTGACAGCGAGTTAGGCTGGGAAGTGGTTACAAGCACTTAACGATCAGCTGATCGCTGAGTGCTTGTAAATAACTGAGGACATAGCGCCCCTAATTATGAATGAACAAGTGCTCTACATCACTTCCTGTTCATTCATGATTGTGGACATGGTAAACATGCTATCTGCACAGTTTATGAATGGACAGGAGCACTCGGTATAGAGGCTTTCTGTTCATTCAGAGCAGGGGCTGCAGAAAAAGAGATTGAGGTCCTCGTAACGGAAATATCAGGGGTCTGTTTAGACCTCTGATATTTCCCCAGAGCCCCCAACAGTAAAGTAAAACATTTTTTAAAAAGGTTAGAAAAAAAATTGGTTTTGACCTGACAAATTTTGTTTGTCGGTTTCAGTCTGATTTCATTTTGGTGTACCTCCTAGTTTTTATAATATGTATATTGTACTCTTGACTTTTGTTTTTTTTTTCCCTTCATCTTTGCAGCCCTGAAGGTGATGCCATAAAAGTATTTGTAAGAATTCGGCCCCCTATTGAAGGAAGCCTGGGCAATGATGGTGAACAGGGGCTGTGCCTCTCGGTATTGTCTCCCAACAGGATTCGCTTGCATTCCAAACCTGAGCCAAAGGTTTTTACATTTGATAATGTGGCGAATATGGATGCAACTCAGGTTTGTGTGCTTGTTACATCCTAACATGTTAACTTCCTTTGTACTTTGGCTTGTGAAGAGTGAAGAGTGTGAAGAGTTGTAAATTCTCAGAACTCCATTGTGAGATGGTTCTCCATCGTTTTCACATTCTGATCTCCCAGCTTACTGCAGTTCCACACCATGCAGAAGAGAGGAGCACTGTGGAGAAAGAATATATAGGGGGACAATTAACCTAGGTAGCAGGGGGCTCTTTGTTTCAACTAAGGAACGGGTGACTGTGGATTTTTAAAGAGGAACTCCAGGAATCTAAAAAGTTACCCCCGCATAGCAAAGGTTAATTGCTTGATTTGGTCTAGATGTTCAAATAAAATAAAAAAAGTATACTGGATCTGATCCTCGATCCCGCCTGGCTGCAAGAACGGTTCCCGCATTCTTCTCCCTCAGGCTCCAGCAGTCTAAGCCCCACTGACATCCTCGCGTCTAATGTCCATACACCTGCATTGCACATGAGGATGCCAAAAGACATACCACAGCTGGAACAGAGTGGGAGAGAGGTGATCTGTTTCTGCCATAGGACCAAGTATCCGGTATTCTGGCCCCCTAGAGAAATACAAGTAGGGAACATTTGCAGTGTGGGGGTAGCCACACTACAAAGGTTAGCTTTTCTTAAAAAAAAAAAAAACTGGAGTTCTTTTTTTGAAGTAACCCTTTTTTATTTAGAATTTTACAGTCGCCAGCAAATGGATTGATAAAAGAACAGAGAGAACATTAACCTGCCCCCATGAAACATGGGAAAACATTAGAGATTGGCTTGTTCACTTATATGAGCACTGCCTTTGTACTCCACTTATAAAGATGTAGCATTATCCTGTACATCTGCAGGCAATTGCACACTTTAGATTGGGATTGGTCCCAGCTTGGCCCAATGTAAGTATACATATTTTATACCCATTAGGGCCACGGGGGATCCTACTACAGTACTAGGCTACTACAGTGCCTAACAGCAAACTTCCGGGTCTTGTACTGCTGCTGGGCTGAGCAACTTTTCCCCTGTGAAAGCACAGCGGGTTGCTTGCTCGGCACAGGGGCCATTCGGCAAATGCCTAATATTTTTGTCAATTAATACTAGGCGTTCTCTGATTGCACGAGGGGCGATGACGTCACTGCGCTGCCCCTCATCCAATCCGAGAACACCTAGAATTTATTTATAACAAAAATATATGCATTGTTTTTATTATTCCAATTAGTTGTAATTGGAACACAAAAAAGATGATTACGAATGTCATTGAACTTATCACCATCTTTAAGACAATAGTATAATATGGTTATAATTGGTAAAATATAGGGCTGCAACAACTAATCGACATAATCGATTATAATCGATTATTGAAAAAGTTGTCAACTTTTTCAATAATCGATTAATCGGCTTCCGATCAGTTGGCCCTGTTCACGGGTCCACAAACGCGCGCCGCACCTCCTCCCCAACTCACGCTCACCGCTGCCAGACCCGCCCGCATCCGTGCTCTACACACCGCACCTCATTCCCGCCTCACACTCTCCGCCCGCCCACATCCACGATTGGCATTTTGAAAATAATCGTTAGCTGCAGCTCTAGTAAAATAAGGGTTATTTGCTAGAAATCCATGTGTAGCAGACAATAACACTTCCTGTTTTACCCTCTGAAGTCAGAAGGACAAGAACTAAGCATGTAACCACCACGCATGCAGCAAATTCTGAGTCTGTGTCTAGCTGTACATACCTGGATGGAGCTCGTAATGAGCAGTATTGGTCAGTGTGGATGGTGGAATGATATTTTGCTAATGCTGAGGTTCAAGGAGCTGAGAGGTTTTCATTGTAATATGAGCGTGTCTCTTGTGTTTTTGTGGTGGATGTTTGATGACCCTGGGAGTGGGAGTGTTAAAGAGGCAGAAGAGCTTTTCTTATTGCTGTGATACACATGGTATTGGGTGGAGAATACTAAGCGCTGCTCCTCTGTCTGTTCCCCTGTGACTCTGCTTTAAAAACTGTTGTTTGGACCCATAGACATTCTTTTTTTGGTGCTCTCGCCACAAGTTGTTTTTTCGGGTAGCCATCACCTGTGCGAGATGAGGCTATTAACTGGTGGCTTTATCCTGCAAGGAATTCTTTCTGGTTTTGCATAGGGGCAAGGTTGTGATAGAGCCCAGGACTTTCTTAATACTGAAGGTAGTTTCTGCCTTTTACCTCAGGCAGGACATTGTTGGAGGGGTAACTCTCCCTCCATTGTCAGAAAGTAGCTACTGCTTCTTTCTGGATGGCTGATTCTTTTTGTCATCCCAGATGGATGCTCTGATTTCTCGTTCCAGCATCTCTAATTTGCTCAGGCAGACCATCATCCAAGCTTGTGTTCCGCGGGATTAGGTTCCAACCCTTCCTGTCAAGGCACTTACGGTACTAGATCTGTAACTGCTTCTTGGGCTTTTGGAATCAAATAACTGTTTCCCGGATTTGTATGGCTGCCAGCTGATCTTTTGTTTGCACTTTCACTTGGCATTTTGGCATCATCTGATGCCATCTTCATGTGTCTGATGCTGCAGACAGTCCCTAATTGTTCTACATAGGGCTTGTTGGTATTTTTTTCCTGTGTTTGCCACCCCTCAGACTGCTTTGGAGGTCGCAATTGTTAGACTTCCTCTGTCCCACAATGTACGAGAAAGAAAATCCTTTGAGTCTATTGAGGGACACAGGCTCCACCTCTCTGTTTATCATACCCTCTGTACTGCTTTGCTACAAAAGTGAGGCATGCTGGTCGTAGGAGGGGTTGTCCTGGACTGGCCTACAGATTTTTTTTGTTCTTGCCTATTTTCCTGTCCTCCTGGCAGCAGTATGGCCTAAAGGTTAAAGTCTTCCTGTATCTCCCAGTGGACTCAGGAAAAGGATTCTACTGGGAGAACAAAAATCCTATTTTAGTTAAAAGAAAAATGTAAAGTAATAGTCCTAATGACTTTGTTGTACAATTTGATCTGATCTTCTGTACTTAAACCATTTGTTTTTGTTTGATAAAACTTAGTTTTTTTTTTTTTTCTTTTCTTACAGGAGTCAGTTTTCTCATGTGTGGCAAAAAATATTATTGAATCCTGTATGAATGGTTACAATGGCACAATTTTTGCCTAGTGAGTATACAGTTTGTTCTGTCAAACTCCTAATTTTATTTTAAGTTTTGGCTAAAGTGTGTGTGTGTGTGTGTGTGTGTGTGTGTGTGTGACTACTTTTCCTGATGACAGGACAGAAAAGGCTGAGGTATCTTAACAGAAAAAAACAGCCATTAGACCCTGGCCCCTTGTTAACACTTCCCCTCTCTAATTATAAATGTATTCATGTCCTATAGCTAATCTGTTAGATCAGCTATACCTTTTTGCAGAAAGATGTATATGGAGTATATTGACCAACACTAAACAATATGCAGAGCTGTTTAAAGGCCACAATCCTGGGACCAGAGGGACATGATTTTATCTCTTGAAGGGGGGCGGGGTAACTGCTGTCATTACACTACCTTCTGACTTGCTTACATCTAGCGGATTTCCATGCTAGATGGAGCTGTGGCTAAATGATCTCCGTACTGAGATATTGTGATGTGGTTTTTTTTTTTTTTTAAGCATTCCTCTTTAAACTCGTGTCAAATACAGAAATCCACCATAGTTGCAGGTGCCATTTTATTTGTCATTTTTAGAAAATCATGCTTGGCTAGTTGCATTGGCAGCATATTAAAATGAAAGCAGGAATTTATGGAGGTTTGGTCAGCAGACTTTGTAGCTCAGTATAATGCCATCTGTGTAACTCAATGGACACGCTTGGAGGAGGGTTGCTAAACCGTGTATATTCTTTAGAATGTGTGTAGCTTTAGGAGCAAGATGGCATTTCTGTGTAGGAGTTATGCTTTGAATGACATGGTGTTGCATGACTTTTTCTTCTTTCTTTTCTGCTGAAGCAGTGGCTAGTCTTCATTAAAGTTTTATAGTTAACCAAATAAGTAGTAGATTCTCACAATCTTTATTACTAAAGCGAACACGTTTGTTTTTTTGCAGCGGGCAGACTGGTTCAGGAAAGACCTTTACAATGCTAGGTAAGAAATGTACAAGTCTGGAATTGTATATTTGCTGGGCAGTTCAAGCAGTTTACCCTATGTTTAGTTTATGTTTATTTGGAGCTTGCATTTATATTTGGATTTAACATATAAAATAATTACAATATTATTTGTGAAACATTATAAATCAAATGAGGAACATTTAATAATCCTACTCCAGCAGCTTTTTTTTTTCTAACCCTTTCCCACTCTGAATGGGTCTGCTTTAAATGCAGCGTCAACAATGCATACTGTATAGTATATGATAGGTATTTTTAGTTTGGCTCCACCAGTCCAGTCTCATCCAGTCCATCCTGGGACACTTCTGAGGAAAGGTTAGGCACATTTCACACTTGTCTGTATAAGCCCTAAAAAAAATGCATCACTAACTGATAAACAAAATGATTGGAGCTCAACCCCACGTGGCTTGCCACTGGTTTAAACGTGAAGACTCATAAAAGCTAACTGTATTGAAAAAATAATATTTACAACTAAATGTAAAAAAAAATTTCCTTAATGAGAATAATTTGTGTGTAAGCATGCAAGAATATGCCCTTTCTGTATTTCTACTTGTTTCATGGCAAAATCTTAAGATTTGCATTATGTTATGTGTTATGTTCCAAAAATGTACTAGTGTATTATAAAGGATATTTGCAATGCCATTTGCATGCTTTTAGATGGTAAATTGTTTACAGTTTTCCTGAAAAATACCAGTTCCCTAATACTTCATTTAGGAGAAACCCTAAAGTGGGCAGATACCAGTAACAATTCCGAAATATACTGTATACATTATTGTTACCTGTTTTTTGCATAGCATAGTTTTGTGTCACAATCAAAAAGCATCTGCCCAGTAACGGCCCAGACTGACATGAAATCAAATGTAGTGTGTGACTTCATTATTTGATTAAAGCTCACTCAATATTTAAGTCCCACATTTGATTTGCCTTATTTATTCTACTATGTTTATTTCCATCAAACCATATGTAAAAATCTATTGCCCATGTAAATTCCCTTTTAAATAAAAGGCCTTTCATGTTCCTAACATTGTATCCATTTCTGTCCCAGGACCATCTGACTCGGATAACTTTACTCATAACATGAGGGGGGTTATTCCAAGGAGCTTTGAGTATTTGTTCTTCTTAATAAATCGTGAGAAAGAAAAGGTATGTGTGCTGTTTGTTTTTCCTCACAGATTATTTCATTTGGTCAGGTTAATGCCGGATTTAGTTTTGAATTTCACTCTTGCATTCTACCTACTACATAACATTTAGGTGTAAGGTGTCTTCTATTGTCTTATGTGAAAAGAGGGGTTCAGATGTGGTCCCATGAATTGCTTGTTGCGCCTACCTGTATGTGTAGGCAAGGCTGAAACAAGATTCATTCTTTCAAGGTGATCTTGTCTTATTTTCTCCCACTAAGCTTCCATTGAACACTAACTGTTGCACAGGCAGGTGCATCACTTCTATTGGGCTATATACTTGCTCTACAGGGGCTTACATTCCAAGAAAACTACTAATGCCCATATGCCAAAGGTTCAGGGAAATCCCTAATGATGTAAGCTTCATCAGAAACAAGTGCTGAGGCAAATATGAAATCAGCCATTGCTGAACATGTCCTTTCAGAAATGCTAGTGGCCTGGCTATCTAATGATGTAGTGGCTTCAGTGCTAGTGTTTAGCAGTGGCTGCCCACCCCCCATTTCCATTAAAACTCTTATAAGGCCACTTGGATGAATATCCTGTTTAGTGTCTTGCATAAGCAATGGAAAAACCTTGACCGCGTTGTATTTCTGAAAACTTGCTGTGATCATTGTCACAACAGCAAAGGTCTCCTGCTGCCATCTTCATAATTTAAATAACTGGAGAATGCAGCTGTCGGAATGAGATTTTGAAAAAAGGCTGCACCAAGTAAGAGAAGTGGGGAGAAGCTTTCTTTTTTTTCAGAAATTATTCACCTGGGCATGTGAGAACCATACATAA